ACCAAAATTAGAGAATTAAAGATATCATTACAAAATGAACAAATCTGAGAGAGGTCCACATGTAGTACCTATATATGTAATATCAAAGCAATTGGACTTGAGGTTTTTAACAAGAAGTCAAAAATATCACTTTTTACCAAAAATGACAAAAATATTCACCAAAATTAGAGAATTAAAGATATCATTACAAAATGAACAAATCTGAGAGAGGTCCACATGTAGTACCTATATACATGTATGTAATATCAACGCAATTGGACTTGCGGTTTTCAACAAGTAGTCGTAAATATCACTTTTTACCAAAAATGACAAAAATATTCACCAAAATTAGAGAATTAAAGATATCATTACAAAATGAACAAATCTGAGAGAGGTCCACATGTAGTACCTATATATGTAATATCAAAGCAATTGGACTTGAGGTTTTTAACAAGAAGTCAAAACTATCACTTTTTACCAAAAATGACAAAAATATTCACCAAAATTGGAGAATTGAAGATATCATCATGAAATGAACAAATCTAAGAGAGGTCTACCCAACTTGAAGGTACATATACACCAAGTATCAAAGCATTCAGGCTTGTAGTTTTCAAGAAGAAGTCGAAAAAGTAAAACATTGACACGGACGACGGACGACAGACGACGGACGACGGACGCCGGACGACGACGGACAATCACTCATATGATAAGCTCCGCTCGACAAAGTCGACAGCGGAGCTAAAAATGGTAAATTGTGGTATAAGTCCGCGTTATCATAAACAAAATCACTGAGAATGTAGAATGTGTGATGGCGCACTTCAACCCGAATTGTGTTCGCGTAGGAAATTGAAAAGCTCGAATTTGACGATACTGAATTCCATTTGAGATTATCACATTCTGGGATGATATTAAATCATAGATTAACCAAAAATAGTCTCGGCAGTATGGCTGTTAATCATTTTGATTATTAATTCATTCATTTTTCGTGACCCCACGAGGTGAAAGTTGAAAGGGTGTCGAAAACGAGCCAATCACAACGTGGGAACGTGTCAATTTATCAGTAGTTTCGGCATTGGGGAAAATTCTCTTCCCTAATCTGTCTCTCTCTTTTTATGGTTGAGCTGTGGCGGCTTGTGCGTCGAAACATGAAACTCATAGCAATAATTTCGGTCCTTTTGATGTGTCTGACCTATCTGCTTATTCCTGCAGATGCCAAAGAGAAGTCAAAGGGACCAAAAGTTACAGACAAGGTAAGCTAAGGACTGGTGTATTTCGAAGTTTACAGTAATTAGACCGGGTAATTCAATGCAGTCTGTGTTTTTGTAGTTCTCACCACGGCGTTGGTGTACTGCTGTGCTTAATCGTACAGTTAAACAGCACTACTCTCAGTTACTTCTTGAAATTTCGTTTTGTATACACGTTTTTTTTTTATATTAAATTAATAATCTAATCCTTCGTTCGAATAAAAATGTATGTCATAGCAGTGTTACCTATTGTCTTCTAGTATCTACTAAACTAATCACAAATAAATTGCACTGCTGAGATAATGCCCAAATTATTTGTATAAAATATATTTCTATACAATTCACTTTTAAAGATTAGTAGACATTTTCCCCCAATATTTGCCACTCTGGCCTGAACTATGCCTATGACTGTGAACTCCTCCCCCAATAACACCTCTGAAAATTTACCCATGGGCTAAGCTAAAGTTTATAGATGAGAATTGCTCTAACTTTCCATGTTAAATTTAACTGAAGTATATAGCATTAGATTTACCATTTCTTTCCATGTTTTAATGAATTTAAACACTCAACTTAATTACAACCCTCCTCCAACTTGGTTGCTTCACATGCCATATGCTGATTTACCATATGGTCTTTTGTAATACATAATACACAATTAATCATATTACAATGTGCATTTACATTTTAACTTGGAAAACAATATATTAACCTTTCATTTTTCTAAGATCGAATTGCATTTTTGAAGCAATTGGAGCTCTCATTGTACATTTCATTTTTTCACCAGGTATATTTTGATATAGAAATTGGCGGGGAACCACAAGGGCGCATTGTTATTGGTCTGTTTGGAAAAACAGTGCCAAAAACTGTGAAGAATTTCGCTGAACTAGCCAAGAAAGAGGTAATACCATTTATTTCTTGTTGTGTTCTATGAATTTATATGGTAAGGGTAGATTTTGTGGCTGGTGATTTGGGATGAATATCAAATGCAATGTCATACAATTTGCGAAATGATCACAATCATTTCTTTATCTCTAGAAATACTGATACACACGAGTGATTCTTTGAATTTTTTTATTCTCAAAATTTTATCCTGTAGACTGTGAAAGAATACTTTAAACATTGTCTATCAAGGCGATCCATTTATTGCAATACTGAATGTCCATTGGTGATCATGGACAACATTTCAATACCATCATTTTAATATTGTCTGTGCCTGTATTGGAGTGGTTCTCTCTCAGATTACTAGTAAATTTATTATAAGATTATTTCATGATTTTTCGTGTTGCAAAATTTGTCGGTATTGTGTTTTAGTTTCACATCAGACTAATCTAAATGATTGATGAAAAAATCTCAAGAAGGAATTACAGGTGTTATACGTAACCTAGATATGTAGGTGAAAATTTATAAAAACCAAACAATTTGTCTATGATTTGGTCATGACATTTTCTATTTTTAACTTCTCAAAAATGTTAAGCTAGATTGCTTTGTAACAAACTGCTTGCTTCCATCAGGATAAATTTTGCCTTTCCTTTCACAGTATTTATATTGTATGTGTATTAGTATATATTTTAGAACTGCTAATAAATTCATTTAAAATTGTCAAATTCGATATTGACCTTGGAATTGTTGCAAATAAATGTAAGCATTGTTCCACCCACCCTTATAGTGGAACACATGCAGTATTGTTACAATGTTTTATTTTAAGTTGAACAAAAATGAGATTAGACCTAACATATGTGCATTTTTGAAAATAAAATGGAAATGCCAAAATTGAGAGCTTAGTGAATTTTGATGTAAATCTTGCATTGACAAATATTCCATACATGACTTCTTTGTATACATGTACATCCCATTTCAGCAGCCAAAAATATTGACTGTGGATGTAATCTGTGCTCATTATTAAATTTTTACTCTACACACATGTACCATGATTGGTCGAACAGAAAATGTTTAATACATATCAGAATAGCCTATTGTAAACTAATTTAATGTGTCAGTGGAAAAATTCACAACATAGTCTGGAGGACAGTTGATAGTCTGTACTTAACTAAAGAAGATTGGGTCAAAAGTAGCCCAATATTTTGAGTAAAACCTGCAAATTGACTTCAATTTTGTCTGTTGGCTACAAAATTTGGTTTATATCCAGAAATACTGAAAAATTTTAAGAAAAAAATGTAGAAACATCTGGGCAAGAAAATCTGGTGGTGCAATGATTTAAAGAGTTTACAGTATAATGTGATGGTTGCATCGTGGTAGCACTACCTACCTTCTTGTGCCGACCCATTTCTTGTAATGTTGAGTAGTGTTTTCAAAATGCATCACATACAAAGTGTGCAAGTTCAAATATTTTTTTTGAAGAAGGCTTTTGATTCGTATTTTTAGTGTACAATTTGTTCATTTTATTCTTTTTATTAATAAGACTGCATTTTTTCAACTGTAGCTACCAAATGGATACAAAGGCAGCAAATTCCATCGAATTATTAAAGATTTTATGATCCAGGGTGGAGATTTCACTCGAGGAGATGGTACTGGAGGTGAGTCTCTCAGAGCGAGTCTGTGACATGTTAGAATTGCTTATCAATGCTTGCAGTGTGTTCATTATGAGATACAGTGCACTTTACTTTAAGATACATGTTGTACATTGCTTGTATCAAACATGACTCAGCGTAACAAACACTCCTCTTAAGATAGAAGCCTAATCATGAATGCAAATAGCCAGAATTATACATAGATATTGACTATTGATCATAAAAATGTTGTGGTCACCAGCCTTATTTTCAAGAAAATGAGGATTGTATTTTAAGTGGAGAGTGTCTATTTCGGCAGTATTATAACTCATTACCATAGTTTCTATGGCAGAAAATATGCCATATCTCAAATTGTAGGCTGGTGACATACTGTGACATAGTACATGATAGACGACACATACTGTTAAATGTTTTTTTTATTGTACACTCTATTTGAAGGTTGTTTGGAGCTTCCATGTTTATATTGAGTTTAAGAAATCTGGTTTGTGGTGGAAATGGTCCATGTTGGCAAGCACACGTGTTTATTTTCAGAATTATTATTTAGGCACTCAGTAAAAACAAACCTAGCGAATTGGAGCAAATATCACATGTACCAGAAATGCCACTCAGTGTATACTTGGTGTTTGTATGAAATAATACAATTGTTTTAACAAAATTAGCAACACATAACTAGGGTTGACAGAGCTGATACTTTCTTTGGTTACAGGTAGAAGTATCTATGGAGACAGATTTGATGATGAGAATTTCAAACTGAAGCATTATGGTGCTGGGTGGCTGAGTATGGCAAATGCTGGCAAAAATACCAATGGATCTCAGTTTTTCCTAACCACTGTAAAAACAAGTTGGTTGGATGGTAAACATGTTGTCTTTGGAAAAGTTCTTGAGGGAATGGTAAGTGACTGCTTTACCTTCACTTGATTGGGAGATTCAGTCTCCAAATTTCTTTAAATTGGACACTCATCAAAACTGCATTTTCCTATTGTTTCTTGTCCTGACTTTTTAGCATCCCCATAATTTTAACATTATCATCATAAAAAGTTGTGAGAAAGGCAACTTGTAATTTGGTTTTGTCATTTGTATTTACTGCCTTGCTTCAAAATGCATACTAGCATTTGAGCAGCTCTTACAGGTTTGGGCCTATGATTTTGTTGGTCTGCACTGTGCACATTCCGACAGTATTGCTTTATTAATAACACCTAAATTAATTTCAAAGAATAAACAACTGTAAATGCAATGTCTGTCCACTGCATTGTCATTTTCCCCAGTCATAAATTTGTACAAATTCAATCTGTCCTCCAATTTTTAGCTTCGCTTTCGATTTTGTTGAGTGGAGCTTATCATACGAGTGATCATCAGTCGTCGTCAGTGTCAGCTTTACTTTTTTGACTTCTTCTTGAAAATTACAATTCTTATTGCTTTGGGCAGACCTCATAGATTTGTTCATTTCACGATGATATCTTCAGCTTTTTAATTGAAACATGCATTGCTAACAGCGGAGCTATCTCAGCCGAGAGACTGCTTGTTTTGTGATTTCAATAACTCAACAATATTTTTCTATTGTCTTTGAACTTGTTGTTTTTAACAAATTATAAAAGGATGTTGTCAATTTACCAATGAGATGTAATACACAACACCACATCATAATCGCTATATTCATCTATTGGGTTGAATGAAATGGATTCAATTTATGAATCTGAATCTGAAATAGTTTCCAACACACTTTCCACCTCCTGTTAGTAGCTTAAAATCACTACCTCAGATGTGAATTAACTGATCCTAGGCCTGGATCCATGGCATTGTCACAGAGTGTGTCACTGGGTGGATCCATGGCATTGTCACAGAGTGTGTCACTGGGTGGATCCATGGCATTGTCACAGAGCGTGTCACTGGGTGCACACTCAAAACATTGCCATTGATTCTGTTAGAGCAAATAGGCGTTGATGCACATGCATGCACCTGTAATAAACCAATTTGATTGGCCGTACTCAACAATTCATGCAATTTGTGTCAAATTGTAGGTTCTGGCAGTTACTAATTTTTCTCATCTGCTTGAATTTGCATCAATTTGCTGTGCATCCACCCATGGTGCAAAGCTTACTAATGCCGAAGACTAAGGATTGTGATCATTTATTCTTTCTAGGATGTTGTGAGGAAATTAGAAAACACCAAAGTGAGTGGGTCAACACCAGAGAAGGAATGCATAATAGCGGATGCTGGTCATGAGGAAGTAGCTGAACCATTCTCTGTGGACAAAGAACCTGTAGAAGAGTAAAGAAAATTGTCACAAAATGTAGAATTGTTTTTTTAAGTGTGGACAGATTTGGAGAGATCTTTAATAAAAAATTTAAATCCAAACCTTTTCTTCATTCCTAACTTTCTTCATCAAATCAGCTTAAATAAGGATGTGGATAAACTTGTCCAGGGAGTTGTATTAATTAAATCAGGTACACACTGGTAACCAGCATAAATACAAAGTTATTTCAGAGTCTAACCTTACTACATGTGTTTTGTATATGATTTCTATAAATGTAGTACTAGTATTTGTGATCTCAATTTGTTCACTACATTCCACCATGTTGTGTTGCTACACATGACCTACATCTGTGTCTAGTTACTAGTGAAGTAGACTGTGAGATCCACTCTGAGTTATTTCGTGTGTATGCATTTGATGATTGTTGTATCAAAACATAATAGAAGTCTGGTGATAAGTTTGTACATGGTTGAATTATTTTACTTCCTGGGGATCTCTACTGCATCACACAACCTATGTTGGTAGCATCTTTGTTTTAGCAAAATTGATATTTACTGAAGTGAATTACACATCTTGTAAATAACAATGTCTACAGTAAAAAAAGGCTGTTACTGATATCACACATACATTATTTTTATATAAAACTAAACTCTTTTACAATTGTTGATGCAATCCTATCACAGGGACGTAAATGGATTTGAATTATTGCTGTTCATTAAAACATCTATGCATTGCAGTTTGTAATCTGAATATTGAAAACTCAATAAATGATCGTCATACACGAGAAACTAGTAGTTTTCTTTCTTGTGGGAGATTAGGGGTCACAACAATGGGTCACATGTCCACGAGTGGTATAAATGTGAGACTATGAAAAGCATAGTCCATTTAGTCGCAATCCATGGTCCATTTCTTGGACATGCTTTCACAGACCAGTGTGACCAGACTTATTGTGCAAGTAAATATTGATTTGATATAATATAGTTGGCTGACAGCAATTTTGATGGTAAATGTCTGGACTGTTATCCCAAGACTGTATTCATAGTTTCTGTTATACTGCCCTCAATGGTATTTTATTCATGGAACGCAAACTGGAAATATGATTGGGTATCACAACCAGTTTAATAGTGTGTATATACTCCGCAGTTGCACGACTGTTAAAATGGCATGGTATTCTACAGCTTGTATCAACTGTTCAGGATTCACGCCTACTGTATCTACTTTAGAAGGGTGTTCACTCTTGTGTTGGTACTAATAACCTTGATTACCCTATATGGCATCAAACGGTCTGTTCTCAATTCTTAAACCTGGTTGCAACCAGAGGAACATGTAAATAAAATAAAAACGTGTGTAAAGAAAATGTAACTTCATCTTGTGGTAAATAAAATTAAGTGACTTTTTTTTTTTTTTACAAACAATAATTAGCAATTTCCAGAGCTTGAGAGTAGCACTCTCCTATAAAGTTCTATATTTTCTAGTTCAAGTTTACAAGACACTAATTATTTGTCTCTACTCCACGTCATCCTATTTTATCTTCATTTAGATATTACTTGTACATGTAGTATTATCTTGTGCCCCATTTCTAAAATCCAGTGACATGTATAATATTCCATGTTTGGATGAGTGGCTACCTGGGAGATTTCTAAAGTAAATTCAGAAATGGTATCGTGCATTTCATGGAAGTGTGAATTTAATTTGTAAATGTTTTTAAATAAATTTTAAAATCATAGTTGAAAAACACTAAATCAAACTCCATAATACATGGTCATAAATGAATGACGTATTGTAATAGGATTTTCAGAGATAAATGTTTTATGGTTATGTGTTAAATGTGTATAAAACAAATTCATACCTGCATAGAATGCACAGTAACACGAGAATTACACTAAATTTCGTAAACTTGGATATAGTAAAAATTTAAAAAGCATAAGTGGATGGCTGGGTAAACTAACGAGAGAAACGGCTGATTGATGTTTCATACGCCCGTTGGTGGCGCCATACCAATTTCGCTCGCAAAGGTTCATGCGGCCATTGCCTCACCATGGTTCGCAGAGACGGTCATGGTTTCAGCCACTGTCCTTCAACAGAGTGACTGTGTCAGCGAAACCCTATGATTTAGATGATGGCGCTACGCGCTTAACTATTAATACCGAGATTCAATAATTATTCAATCTTGTCAAAGTGAGACAAATTCACAATGAGGATAGCCAAAAAATATTTGCCTTCAAAGCTTGTAGACTTGCATTCCACCGAAGGCAAGAAAAATACCCCCTCCCCGAAAATCACAATGCGGCCTCATACTGCCACCCTCCAAATGATACTCCAGCAAAGAACATAATGAAAAAAACGAGTGGCGATCTTCTAAACGTCCTGTACAATTCACTGTTCATTTACATTAACAGGGGTGTTAACAACGATGTACACATGAGCGGAATACTGAAAAAGGCAAATTAGGAAAGTATGTGCTTATCATGACTAACGCCTGATAACGGAATTCAGGGGTGTTATTACCACAAAAAGGCCATTAATAGTAATATGAATTTTAAACTCCCGGTAGGTGTACCCGAACAAATGCAATTGATATTGGTAAACAGTTTACAGCTGACTTAATAGGTGTGATGAGTTGACTGTCCATGAAACAAATCACCACCCCAAGGCAAATGGTTTGGTCAGAAAGTTTCATGGAACTCAAAAGAAGAATATGCTTTAACGCATGAAAGACCCACGGACTGGGAATGACATATTGCTGCTTTGCATACAGAGAAGCCTCCTCAAACTAGTTTTAGGTTTCCCGCCATTCCAAATGTTTCATGGTTGGCCCGTCAGGGGATCGATGACGATTTCAATAGAATTATGATATCCGGAAACTGCAGACTAAAACCCCTGTGGGGGGGGGGGGTGTCTGAATAATTGAAAAGTGGTATAATTTCACACAAATAAGCGTACGTGTTTAGAGGCTTTTTTTGAAAAGCTATACTTCAGCATGGGTACCAGGTCTGACTTGGAGTACCCCCCCCCCCCTGGACTCAAACCCAATAATGCCCGGGCCGACGTGCCAGCATTGGCAAGCCTTAGTACGTTTCGAGTGTGTACAGCGCCACCAGTGGCTGTTCCCGGCTCTATGCGTCCAGACAGTATGTAATGGATTTGAGACAGTGTTTACAGAATACCTGTGATATGGAACAGAAACAACTGGTCAAACATGGTGAGATACAAGAAGCATTTTAATAAGTCTGCGAAACCCAAAAGAAAGGAATTTATTGCATGGCTTAAAGATATACAAACTGACATAAGAAAAACATGCAAATTAAAAAACGTCATAGTCCGATGACACAATAACAATGCATGAATGGTTACAATGAATTGGAAACACAATAGACTAAGTATAATAAAATCACACAGTATTATTAGCAGCTGTAGCCGCCCGTTATTTAATAAAGCGACTGAGATTTTAAAATATAAAATTGATTTCTGATGTTATATGAATGAATAGCAAAGTTTGAAATAAAAAGGTCAGATAAATATGAAGTATTTGTTAACGAGTTTGTTAAAGTGTTTGATTTGTTTGTCTTGAAAGGCTGGCCAACCAACAGTTTATATTAATTGGAAAGAATTCTTTATAATTTAACTTACTATTATTTTGATCTATATAAATTTACATTACGTTGTAGGCATTTTACATAAGCGGTATAAGTTGCGTATCCGTGTGCTTGGTTATACGATAACCAGCACCCACACAAGAGGGTGAATGTACGTTTTTGCGTCTTTATATTTTGGAACCTCTTAAAAATATTCCAAAGGGCGTGTATAATCATAGACCTCGGATCTTAAGGTCTACGGTCTAACTCAACATACAATGAATCATTGCACTGAACACTGCCAGAACTGGTGATGCATAGTGATTTCTCGGATAAGCCTTGTATTGAAAAGTGACATAAAAACTGTAAATTCGTGGGTACGAATTCAGATTCAGGTTTTGCATGGATTGAGTAGCAAAACCTATGGAATTGGATTTGTTACTGGTGCGGTTTGACCCAAAATGCATTTTAGAAATGAATATGACACTAAAAAAACAAAATGGCTGTAGGTCGGCCACTTTGGATCTAATCGCGAAACAAAATGACGTGCATCAGTAGCCCATGAGTAATATAAATGTCAATTTTGACTAAAATTGGTTTAGACAAGCCTGAGAAGTGGTTGAAAAAGTTCTACCGAGTAGTAGTTGTATTGCAACTATACCAAAATATCATCTGATTTGTCTGAAATATGATATCGGAAATTGAAACTGTCTTTTTGCCAATAGCAGTGTTTCTACACACAAAGGCTATTCTACTAGTTAAATTGGTTTAATTTCCGATTTTTTTTTCATTTCTATAGTTCAACAATAGCAATGTGAAAGAAGACAGCCAATCATGATTTCCAGCAAGAAATAGTATATTTTAGTATCTTTTCAAATAAAGAGAAATCAACCTGTTTAAACATGCATGAGTTCTAGTATTCATTTATTACAATGTCCTTAATATGTGTTCTAAATATGTGGCAAGTGTTCTAGGCATCCATCCGACAATACAGAGTTGTTCATTTGGTATATTCTTGTGATATGTTTATTCATGTATTAATAACGTGGAACAGACTGTATCGGAGACGTGGTGCATCATTCAGCACATTTGTATAGTTGATATGAATCAATAATCATACATTCAGTCATGACATGGTTAGAACCACATGCGCATTGATTTATTCACTTATTAGAATATAGAGACGAGAATGGTGAGGATATTCGGTGTACTTCATGAGATTGTTATAGTCACGATTGCAGGCCTCAAATTAACGCACAGAATACTATTTATTCATGTCAGTGATACGAAGACTGTGGAATATGTGTAGCAGATCAGCTAACGTTCCGATTGGACTAATACTCTTTGTTTATGGAATGTACTACTTTGCTCCGAGGCAGGACACACAGAAAGGATGGGAACCCAGAATGTCTGTAATTTCATCAAACACTGAGAACACTGAAAAATTCAACCATAAAGAACAATTGAGAATACAATCTAACATCGGAAACAAACACATACAAACAATTCGACAGTTTGGTGAAGGAGGGACGTCAAATGAAGCCACCTTGAAGCGATCACAATTAAAATCATTCAAGAAACAGGTAATAATTTGATAACCTAACAGTGAATGTGGTCGTGTTGGACTACAGGCACTTTACAACGAATGTAATATACATGTCCGGCACTAATTAATGTCTCTGTACGAATTACCAGTATCATGCTGAAGTCAATAAACTCGATTTGAAAACGTCACAAAAAACTATTACGTAGCGACTGGTTGTCATAATAGACAAAAATATATTTGAAATGTGCATATTGTTCGTCGAAGTCAGCTGAATGTTATGCAAAATGTAATTTTCGGATCGGGTCTTTATGTTATGTTATGTTCATTTTAGACGCTAACAAAAAATATTAATTAGTTACTTTGGCTACCGATTTGTCAATAAAAGGTGAATGTGCAGAGACACATAAATCGAGTATATACTCTGAATATTGTTTTTTTTGATGTTTTGAATAACATTAAATGTTTATTTTCAGCAAAAATGTGACGGTTCAATTCACAAAGATGCGTCGATTACGGAGTGGTTTCGTTTACACTACCTCTCTGATATTCCCCTCTACTTAACCATGGACGATTTGAATTTAGATTTTGATCGCCTTGCGAGCGACTACATGCCTTATGGACTCAAAGGCCTGGCACGGGAAAGTAAGTTTGCTTTCGTCTTTCATCA